TATTACAATTGGTCCAGTTGTGGTTTGGTTTATATGGCCCAAATCTGTCAATACCACAACTGGCCCAGTTGTGGTTTGGTCTATATGGCCCAAATTTATCAATATCACAATTGGTCCAGTTGTGGTTTGGTCTATATTGCCCAAATCTGTCAATATCACAACTGACCCAGTTGTGGTTTGGTCTACATATATGGCCCAAATTTATTAATGCCACAACTGGTCCAGTTGTGGTTTGGTCTACATGGCCCAAATTTATCAATATCACAACTGGTCCAGTTGTGGTTTGGTCTATATGGCCCAAATTTATCAATANTATCACAACTGGTCCAGTTGTGGTTTGGTCTATATGGCCCAAATTTATCAATATTACAATTGGTCCAGTTGTGGTTTGGTCTACATGGCCCAAATCTGTCAATATCACAACTGACCCAGTTGTGGTTTGGTCTACGTATATGGCCCAAATTTATTAATGCCACAACTGGTCCAGTTGTGGTTTGGTCTATATGGCCCAAATTTATCAATATCACAATTGGGCCAGTTGTGGTTTGGTCTATATGGCCCAAATCTGTCAATATCACAACTGACCCAGTTGTGGTTTGGCCTATATGGCCCAAATTTATTAATACCACAACTGGTCCAGTTGTGGTTTGGTCTATATAGCCCAAATTTATCAATATCACARTTGGACCAGTTGTGGTTTGGTCTATATGGCCCAAATTTATCAATGCCATAACTGTCTCAGTTGTGGTTTGGCCTATATGGCCCAAATTTATCAATGCCATAAGTGGCTCAGTTGTGGTTTGGCCTAAATGGCCCAAATCTGTCAATGTGTTGTGGAAATGTTCATTAAACAAGAAACAGAAATATGTGATATCACAAATAAAGTTGTTGTATGGTCACAAACCACCTTTAGCAAACATCTGGGCCACCAAAGAGCAGTCATTCTTTGTGGTATTTGCGCAGATTTTTAGTGCATTGTGTGGGCCAGAACTGGGCCAGACAATTTTGATATAGTATGTGGGTGGCTGCCTTCACAGATCATGTAGATAATTGAGAGAATGTTGGGGTTATTGTCTAGTATGAAGGGAATATAAGTGCCATGAATGTAGATACATACAGTATGTAGGGCTAACCGTAGGAAATGAGAGTTTACCTGCACTGGTATTATTCCWAGCACAGACTCACCTGGCAGAACAGGAAGTAGACTCCTGTTCTCTCCACAGTGAAGGTACCTTGCTCCTTGTTGTACTTCACTGCTTTACTCATATTCAACGTCTTCTCCTCCCAGCCTTTTATCACACCACCTTCTCCCACTGAAAAAACCCCACACAGACACAAGTCCTCAGTTATCCATCGCTCAGAGAGAGGAAAAAATATCTTTAAACATCTTTGTCCATTCCTCATTTTGACGACTCTTACCTTGCTGAGGGGAGACCCCCTCCCGTTTGGGTACTGGTTGAACGTAAGAGACAATGATGGAGACAGAAAAGAGGAAAGTCAATTAGGATTTTACGAGTGCAATCGTAGAGGGGTATTTGATTCGAAAACACTTCAGCAGATGCGATTCGAGATGGGCTAGAAGGGATCTGCCAAGCCACTTACTTTCAAAATGAGACGCCGCCTTCCTTCCATTTCCATTTCTCCCTCGTGCCGTTCCCCCTTTGAATCCAGAGACATAGTTTGAATACACAGAAAATAACCTCTGTGGTCTGTGTTTTTTTTTCCTTTCATAAAACAATCATTCCCATCTGTATCACTCTAATAACACGGTGGGTTAATTTGCTGCCGTTTTGATTCGCCCCGACCATTTTAATGTGATTAGCAGCTGGGCAAAGGATCTCCTTTCACATGCTTCAATTTATTTCCTCAAAGTGTTATTTTCTGTCAAAAGTGTGTGCCTCTTTTTGTTCCCCTGTGTGGGCTGATCTTAGTGCCAGCTGGTTTCAGTCATCTAGAACAAGAGTGAAAGAATGGAAGGACAGAGAGGAGGGGGGTGGAGGGGCAATAAAAACAAGATGGACAGGGGGAAAATGAATAAAAACGAATTAAAGGCAACCATTTAGACGACTAAATGAGAAGACTCAAGGTTTTTGGGATCATTTGTGACTAATCTGAAGAACGTCTGCTCTTGTTGCTCACTAAAGGTTTAGTTTATCCTTGTGGTCCAGCCTGAAGGGACATCAACCGCTGATATGGCCTGCGCAGTCTTTGCATGATTGGTGAAATCCATATGTTTCAGGATGTAGCAGCCGACCACCTGACTGCCTCCTTTATTCAAGAATATTAAATCCCTGCTAAAATAACTCACATGTGGGCAACCCTGTAGACTTTGGATTTGCAGCGGGGCAAGCGTAAAGCCCCTCAGGCTGGCCTAAAAGTTTTCCCGACTTCATCTGTCAGTCATGAGGAGCGAACAGTAGTGTCTTTCTGAAAACAGTGGACTGCTGCGGTTAATTCTCCACAAACTGGGAAAAGCTGTTTTAGCTTTTTTTTTTAATAAATGGAGCCTTCGAAATCTCTACAGAGAATACAATTTTAGCCACATGCTTCTCTTTGATGCATTAATTTGGATCATTTGAGACGAGGTTCTACAGAACAAATATCTAGCTCTTCGATCTGCCTCAGTTCGAAGAAACTRACTTGATTTTTGACCCGGATGACAAGTTGATGGCTAGTCTGAACAAGACTAAAGTAGACCGCTGCCACCCTAAAACAACTAACAATCTCAAAACTGTCACTGTTCACGCAAAATGTGATTATTTAACTTTTACAGATTTCACATTTACACAAAACGCTGTGGTTAGTTTTGAGCTCAGATAGCAACTGCTAGCTTTAGCACTTCCTGTGCAGCATGGGGGCAGGTTCTACGTGAATAATGGCGGGATGCTGGAATTTTAATCTAAAATCGGCTTTTGTTGAAAAATGACAAATGAATAGACGTTTTTGTCGAATCTTAAAAAATACAAAATCAAACCTGATGCCACATTTTAGTCCCGTTTGTGCAAATTAGGTTGAGTTAGAAGTATTTATTGGCTGTGTCCAAAACATCAGGCCGGGTCCTCCGAAGGCCGAATTTGTYGGCYGCATMYGTCACAGCSCCGCGACGAAGGCCGTCCAAAAYCGAAGACTCCTCCGATGCGGCCGACAAATACGTCCTTCCTTTGGCCCGAATCGAAGGACTGATCTGATRGATCCTTCCCGGCCCAGCATATCCCATAATGCATTGCGGCCCGACCGGAGAWTTTTTTTTAAGCTAGTAATGGTGGACGAAGCGAGAGAAAAGAATACGTTTTAAATAAAAATATGGTGATTTAAAATTTTTAAAAAACTAGCGGTTGTAATTCTAATACTTTTATCATTTGTATAGACATGTTTAAGTATTATTTTAATCATTAAA